CCTGGGACCTCATCGTAATCGACTGATGAGAGATGTACCTTGTCATCATGGCTGAGGACTCTGCGCTCACTGACCTGCCTCTTTACCCAGGGTGTGTACATGGCCTCAATATGAACCCGAGACTTGATGTTCTCAGCGAAGTCACCGATCCCAGGGACAACAGCGGCAACTTGGTCCATCGTGACGTTTCGCAACAGGAGCATGTCAGCAGCGTCGCGATATTCAGATATTTTGCTGAAAGGAAAACCTGCACGAATCCAATCTTGGGGCGCTTTTGATGTTCTCCTGAGCAGAGACATCAGTTCATCCATCTGCTGTTTCTCGTGAGAGAAGGAGCTCCAACGCTTGTCTGTGACGACTCCCCATTCGCGTCCTTGTTTAGTCAACCTCAAATCTGCGTTGTCCGCCCTAGACGCCAGCCTGTATTCACTTCGCGATGTGAACATTCTGTATGGCTCTGTGACGCCCTTGGTGATCAGATCATCAATCATAACACCGATGTAACCGTCTGCTCTCGAAATAGAGCCTGGTGAAAGACCCTGAGCAGCTCGGCCAGCATTGATGCCAGCGACAATGCCTTGCCCTGCCGCCTCCTCGTAACCTGTAGTGCCGTTAATCTGGCCTGCCAGGTACAAGCCGGCAATGTTCTTTGTCTCCAGAGTAGACTTTAGGCTCCGGGGATCAATGTAATCATATTCGACACCGTATCCTGGTTGCGTCATGACAGAGCGCTCCAAGCCCCTAATTGAGCGAAGGATCTGTTCTTGAGCTTCAGGCGGGACAGTCATCGATAGGCCGTTAGGATAAATCACGTCGCTGTCAAAACCCTCGGGCTCCAGCCACACGATGTGCCTTTCCTTGTCAGAGAAGCGGACAATCTTGGCTTCCAAGGATGGGCAGTATCTGGGACCCCTGATGGTTTCCCGAATGTGTATTGTTTTGTCCAGATTTTCGCGGACAATTGCGTGTGTTGTTTCATTCGTGTAAGTGATGTAGCAGAGCATCTGATCCTGCACAGCGACCTGACTGTTCAAAAAGCTGAAGGGTAGGGGTGGATCGTCCCCTGGTTGTTCTTCCAATATTGAGTAGTTGATACTGTCCTTGGCAATGCGAGGCGGTGTGCCCGTCTTCAGCCTTCCTAGGCTAAAGCCCGCGTCCTTGAGCGACTTGCTCAGACCATACGAGGCATCCTCTCCGATGCGACCTGCCGGGTAACATTCCATACCAATGTGTATCTCGCCGCTCAGGAACGTGCCGGTTGTGATGATGACCTGGGTGGTAGGGAGGACTTCGCCAGACTCCAGACGTACACCGGTAATCCTGTTTTTCGCCGCGCTCGTAGCATCAAGCGTGACATCTGTCACAATGTCGGAGACGCTGCCAAGTACAACGGACAAGTTTGGATACGTTTCCAGCTCTTCTCTCATGTATCTCTGGTAAAGTTTTCGGTCGATTTGCGCCCGAGGGCCCTGTGAGGTGAATCAGTCATGCAGCCCGCCAGGACGACCATAAATGATGGAAAATCCTTACCCATACGGCGCGGCCTTTTGAACGGTTCAGGACCTTGAACTGGATGCCAGCCTTGTCAATGATTCTGCCGGCTAATCCATCCAGAGCATCGATCTCGCGCAAGATGATGCCCTTTCCAATACCGCCGAACGAAGGGTTACAAGAGCAGGTGCCGAGATTCTCCATTTTCGGGGTGACCAGGGCCGTCTTTGCGCCGGCTCTGGCGGCGGCGGCGCATGCTTCTGCGCCGGCATGACCACCTCCTACGACGACAACGTCGAAAGGCCTGCGACCTTGTATTAGCGCACTGCGAATCGGATTGTTAAGTACGATCAGACCTTGTGCCCTCTGCCACAGCAGCAAATCCCCGCCTGCCTTGACTACGGGACGGATTTGGACGTTGCATACATCCGGAGCCGCAGAAGCCGCGCCGTCGAAGCCTCAGAGCCGCTGCAAGGGATCGCATGTCTCGTTGACAGGGGAAGAAGCCAACAATGTAGATCCGACGCGGGCAGCCAAAGCTTCAAAGTAAAGGAGGAGAGCAAAATGATTCGGGAGAGAGGTGTGTGAGGAGATGGTATTAAACCGTCGGCCACCCGATCGCCATACTTGCGCCGAGCCTCGTCTGGTCTGTTTCCCTCTCTCCCTCTTTTTTCTTTTTTTTCCTTTTTTTTTTCTTTTTTTTTTTCTTGCGCCTTCCGCGCTCGGCCCCAACTTGCTAGCCCCTTGACCGGCAGTCGGTGACAACAAACACCGATAGCGATGTGGCGCTACCCGACCTTACCTACGTAACTACACTGTGGTCACAGCGTGGCTAATAAGTAGTATGCAATCTGCAATCTATATATGCCGTGCAAAGCAGACAATCAACAAACCTCCAAGCATCTGCCAGGACTTTGATTCACGACTGGCAGGCATCCAGCCAATTAGCCATTGTCATTGAAGAAGTGTCATAAAAAGATCGATACAGGCTTGCTTCCATTTGTCTGGAGTTCGCGGAACCAACTCTGTCCGGTCCCCGATGCTTTTACCGTCTCGTTCCCATTTTCTGCGAATCGGGCCATGAGGACACAGCATCTTCGACTTCCTCGAGATACGTTGAAGCATTATGAACGGTTGTGCCGCCCAAAACCAGTCGAACACCGGGTGTGCTTGCATTGATGGTCGCAACCATCTTGGCCTCTTCATATGTTGCACCTCCGACCATGAAAACAATTATGTCCTGCGGCTTATCTCGTGTAGTCCCGCCACCCTCGACAAATGGATATTGTTGTTCTTTGAGTCTCCCCCGGATCAAATTTTGTAAGGTGCTCTCCATCAGGGGACTGTGCTGGGTATAGACATTCTCAACACCTTTAAGCCCCTTGAATCGATTGCCCGCTGAGCCAAAAATACCCGCTGATTCGAATATGTCTGTGATGCCTGTCTGTGCCTGTGACTGCTGCAGAGACGATTGATAAGACACTAACTTCGGGACGAGATCTGCTCGCCGTACCGAAACCCCACCAGCTGCCACCAGAAGGTCAATGAGCATCGGAAGAGAGTTCGACGGGTTGCGCTCATATCGCAGTGCGTACAGAGCAACCAAGGCAACCTTGCTGTCACTTGTTACCTTCGGGGACTGGATGAGCTTTTGGATGTTCTGTCAAGAGAGCAGTTAGTCAACCTTGCTCGGGATCATGGTCGTTCGTGGAACTTTTCTGGCACACACCTTTACGTCGGCCGCATGGTTATCATTGCATGCTAGGCTCTGCTCGAGCTCGCTGACTTCGAGAAGATTTTCCGCGCCCACCCGCCTGCTCAACTCTGAGACCAAGGTAACATGCTTGCTCACATTGCCCGACAGCTTTCGGAATTCCGGATACTCCTCGATGAAACGCTTCATATCAGATATGGACTCGATGTTGGCGTTGTTTTGCGTTTTGGATTGGTACTGTTCCACGTAGTCCTTGATGTTTCCACCTAGGTCGCCGAAGTTGAGATACATGTTCTTCTTGAAGAAGGGGTCTTGATCTTGAGACAGAACAATTTCCTTGAGCTCCGGCCGAATGTCCGGAACATCACTCAAATCGACTCTACCGTTGTTGATGCCTAGGAGATGATGCACCATGGCTTGATACGTCCACTGGGTAAGTAGCGGCGTGACCGGATCCTCGCGACGGTCAAGGATCAGAAGAATGGGAGGGGTGTCCACCTTTCTGAAATCGAACAGCTGCTCTTCCTGGGTGATGCGATAGCGGACTTCCGTTGCCAACTTCTTAGTGAGCGGGCTCGTGTTGGCATATCTAATCAAAGGCTTCTTCTTGAGCGCCAGCAGTAGAGCAACGAGTCCATCCGCACTTCGCTGAAGCGCGTCCGGGTTCCAGGTGTGTGGGCCACTCCCCCAAATGCGTTGATGAGGAAGGCTGAGTCCGAGAGAAAATAAGTCCGGGTTAATGACAATGAAGTCGGCAAAATGCTCCTGAACTAGCTTGACCACCTCGTGATCGTCCGCCTCAGCAAGCCTTTCGAGCGATGATTTCTTCACAACGTTGGTGAAGTACAAGTGGTATTCGCCATATTTGGGCTCGCGCAGTTCATCGATGAGCAGCTGGATAGATTCTGGTGATGGCCGTACGAGACATAAGCATCGAAGATGACGCATCTTTTCTCTGCTGGGATTATCGATCCGGTCGATTAAATACACTTCGTGGTTAAGCAGAGAAGATTGCGTAATGGCGGTGGACACGATAGGCACGGTTTCCCGGTCCAGTAGTAGGACCTTCATCTTGGCCGACTGTGTGTTCGAAAGAGGGTCGGCTGATGAAACCATGCGTGATACGTAGCCGGCCACTGCTTGAGCCACGTCCATCTTGGCCAACAACACGAGACAAGCTCGGTAGGTCGCGAATGTGTATGTAGTGTCTCTGTCCGACGCAGGAAGGCGAGCAACTATGCGGAGCCCACAGCACTGCTAATTGTTGAGGCAGATGAAGAGATCTTGGCTGTGTTGGCTGCGATAAACTCGTGGAAGAAGTGAGGCGTCGAAATTGTCGATGTTTGGGCAAAGGGATGGAGGTGATGAAGGATAGGATGCCCGCCTCGATTTGTGTCGTCGTCCATAGCTTCGTGGCGCATGCCACACAATTGAGCCACACAATGAGCTTACCTACTCGGCCACGGTGGTGCCTTAGGTAGGGAGGTAGGCATGGTCGAGACAGTAATAGACCGTGAAACCCACAGTGCGGGGCTTTGATTCAGGGGACCTGAGGCAGTACACCTAGGTAAGGTAGGCACCTACCGAAGACCTGAAGGAACTGCAACTCTCTACCATACCTAAGGTACCTACCTAAGGTAGGTGTGGCCATCGCTATAATCCAATCCATGCCCTGGGATATTCGCACAAACAGCAAACCGAATTTCCCGGTTCTTTCTTCTTCAATGCAACTATACTGCTGTCTCGAGAACAACGCCACTCCACAGTCTGCTTGTTTGTTGGCTGTCTTGCGACTATGACGAGTCTACCAACAGACACCTGCCCGGCAAAAGCCGAACCTGCGTGAGTCACGAACCAGCGAATTCTCTCCAAGGAAAAGACGTTAGTATTATGTAGAGCGGATCTGACAATACGAATGCTCTCCCAGACTTTCCTTCACCCAGGGCTTAATTCTGGGACAGCTGTCGGTGGTCATCGTTCTAGCGGCCTTTATCAAATTCTTCATTTTTGGTGATCCTCCCTCGCCTGAGGTGACGGCCTCGCTCAGAGCTACGGAACGTCGATCCCGGACACTCGCCCACAAGCGATCTCTTTTGAGTCTGCGGACGGCCAACGCTCGGCAGGGCCAGCAGACGCTCAATCGCAAGAAGTCTAGCGTACTCCGGAATCCTCCTAACTTGACCATTGGCTCTATCTTGAGCAAAACATACTACAATGTGGACAGCCATCAGCCGGAGAGCCTTGACTGGTTCAACGTCCTGATAGCCCAGACCATTGCCCAGTTACGCAGCGACGCCCAGCACGACGACGCAATTCTTACGTCTCTCACGAAGGCTCTTAATGGAACATCTCGCCCCGACTTCGTGGACGAGATCCGTGTTACTGAGCTGAGCCTTGGGGAGGACTTCCCCATCTTCAGCAACTGTCGTATCATTCCGGTGGACGAGGATGGTTTGAGTGTGGGAAATGGCAAGACGCTCGATGCCAGCGCTGCCAGCAGGGAAGGAGCTAAGCTGCAAGCTCGGATGGATGTGGATCTCAGCGACATGCTGACAATGGCCATCGAGACGAAGCTTCTCCTCAATTATCCGAAGAAGCTAAGTGCAGTGCTGCCGGTGGCACTGTCAGTCTCTGTCGTCAGGTTCAGCGGCACTCTTTCGATCTCCTTCATTCCCAGCAACCCTTCGCAGTCGACCCCTACTATGATGACGTTCAACTTTCTCGATGATTACCGGCTTGACCTCTCAATTCGTAGCCTTCTAGGAAGCCGATCGAGGCTCCAGGATGTGCCTAAAATCGCCCAGCTCATTGAAGCACGTCTGCACCGCTGGTTTGACGAGCGATGCGTAGAACCCCGTTTCCAGGAGATTGCTTTGCCTAGTTTCTGGCCACGGAAGAAGAACACTAGAGGGCCCGAGGACGGACTGGCAGAGACGAATGCACCAGTAGGCAGGGCAAAAGGGAAGGAGATTGATCAGAATTTGCGAGCAGAGGCCCGAAGAGAAGTAGAGGCCGAAACCGGAGGCAGGACAGGGCGAGAGCATGATTCTCTGCGTCGGCGCAGATTAAGAAGCGATGACTTCTCGATGCCTGGGTCTTTACCGGGGCTAGATTTGGACATGAGGACATGATTCAATTGGTATTTATAGGTGGTCTCAAAACCGGCCAGGAACCAGGGTTGACGAACTCTCCGTGAGGGTAAGGAGGCCTTTCCACCACAGACCTGCCCCGGTAAACAAAAGTACATAGTAGAATACCGTCCATTTCCGAGCGTCTGCGTGCGTGTAATGTCCATGAAGATGCCAGTGGGGCTCGACAGATCCCCAGAACCGGGGAAGGCCCATGGAGTTGCAAAATGCATGTACCAAGACGATGGCCAGTAGACTACCGGATCGCAAAAAAAGGAATGTGGCATAGCCACCAAACAGAGAAGTGTATGCGAACTGTAGTACTGAGCGAGCGACGGCGGCGATTAGGGGTACTCTGGGGTGGGTGATGCGGAATTCGTAGAAGTGATGGACATGGGCGAGGCCGAATATGAGAGGGGATAGAAAGATGGTTTGAGTTAACGACATATGAGCGCACAAGAGTAGCGGCACTGAAGCAGATCGGAACAGCATTTCCTCGGTCAGAGGTCCCTATGATCCAAGTGAGTATGAAATTGCAAGAAAGGATACAGAAAGTTGAGGTGACACACCATCACAATGTTGCGCCAAGTGGTCCACCGGGTCCAGACATGCGTAAGAGGCTCTAGAGTTTTCCAATCCTCCCAGAGTCCGTCTATGAGAAGGGCTTCGTAGAGTGGGCCAGCGAAGAGAATGGAGGTGAGAAGCAAAGCGCTGCCAGATTCCGCGAGGCCCACTGGCCAGTAGCCCATGGCGTGGAGGGGAGAGATGGGCAGGACGCCGTCCGGAAGTTGAGCCAAGACGATGTAAGTGATGGTGCAGCAGATGACAGTAGAAAACAGAACGGAAGTGACACGTGTACGAATCACTCGCGGGTCGTCCCTGGACAAAGTTGGCGAGGGACGACTGGACGACGAGATGTAAAGCGGAAGCACATAAATGCTTGTGTACAGAACCTGGCTAATTATGAGCGGGGGGGTCAAGCAGTGGCAGTTGAAGAACTTGGACATACCAACATGGCGCTGACAGCGAAGGGATGTAAAGAGGGCGGCACCATATCAGACGGCCCTGGGTCGGGGCCGAAGCCGAAGCTAGGAGAGGACATGGAGCAGCCGGTATGCGCCGTCGCAGCCCGGGGGCGTCGCCAAGTGACTGAGAGACGGGACTGGCGATAGGAGAAACTCAAGACACAGGGCAACGAATTGGCTCGACAAGATAAAGCTACCTTAGGCCAAGGTTTGGTGTCATGATGTGAGGCGGTATCACACTTGCACCCACGTCTCCAAGTTGCTGAAGTCCATTGATTACGTAACAAGGCTCAAGACCCAGAATCAACCTCAGGTACCTACCCAGGAACCCCATCGGCAGCTGGTCCACGGGGACATGTGTGCGGGATTCCGCGACGCACCTTATACTGTCGTGGCGCCTCTGGTTTTCGAAGCGCATTTTCGAAGCGCCGGTGCCAGGTTGCAATGCATTACCTTGGGCAGAAACACGGCCTCATTCTCACATATGCATTCGTTGTGTATGTCTTGCGATCGAATGTGCTTTTAGCACATAAACAGCTGCGACTTCTCACACAGCTGCGGTTTCTTACACGACCGATGCACGATCAATTCAAGGCCTGCAGGCTGCAGAGGGGGCCGGCGGCTAAGGTAAGGTACTGGGCAATGGGTGGCAGGGTGGATCCGACGAACGCGTTAGAAGCTGAGATGAGGCTGTTGGTACCGGAAATGTTGAACGCGACTGAGCCGCGCGATCTATACTTATCCTGCCATTGGATGCGCCGCGGCCCTCGCCTGGCCTTCGACTTCAACGTCCCCCGTATACGGTAAGGTGCTGTACCTACCTACCTACCTACCTACCTAGGTAGATTGGAAGTTTTCTCGGCTGGTTATTTCTCCGCAGGGGAGCGCCCAGGCCCGGGCCCCGAGCAGGCCACTGGTTAAGGTAATGAAACGTCAGGCCCTCCAGGCGCCGCTGTCAAAATTAATTGCTCTCGTACGGATGGCCTCAAGGCAGGTTCTCTCCTCTGCTACGTACCTATTCTCTATGATTGTTTGCATCTCTGACGGAAGAGATATTGCTTTCGGCAAGCCCGTCCAGTGGGAATGACGCACCGACCTACGATGGCTGCAGCAACGAGACAGCTTTAAGCATACCAAAGTAAACAATGGCGGTCAGACAGAGCACAGCGCTGAAAATGACAAACGCCCTGAGGCTAGGATTTTGCCGGCCATCGACTTGAAGCTGGCGAGCGTTTGAGTCCTGCCGTATCATCATGGGCAACGGTCAACCGAGCGCCTCAGCAAGAAAGAATCTCGTACTGCGACGGTCTGCCAAGATTAGGAGGGTTGTTCTCAGTGTTTATTCACTTCCTCTTTCGGTTTGTCGTCATACGTATTGCGTATCCGTACCTTACCGTACCTCACGGACGCTGTCTCCGCATCTCATCAAATATCCTTCAAGAGTCTTAAGGTCAAGTTTGATTGAGAAACGTATTGCGGGTACCGTAGCGAGCAAAATGCCCACTTGTGCCTCCAGTGCCCAGGTGCTGTGGAAGGTTTATCCTGGCCCTGCCTGTCCAAGATGTGGTGGACCACGCAAGGTCCCATTTTCGAGTGCACGCTGAAGACGTGGATGGTCTTAGTATAATTAGTGTGTTGCCAGCACACCGGATTGACCCACGGATGCATGGATAGGATCACAGCGAGAAGCGCGTTCAGACTCGCACAACATCCATTCGTCAAGCGGGAGCTGCCAGAGCCGCTGGCTGGTAAGTCGCAACGGCGCGTGGCGGTTGGTTACGGGGCGTAGACACGGACTTAGGTACCCTACCTAGGTAAGGCACCTTAGGTTTGGTGGACGTCGGGTGGTCCAAAGGAAGGCCGTAGGTATTCCATGACTGTCTCTGTCTCTTTCTGAGCCCTGCGCTAGATTAGCGTCGAAGGCCCTGAGTGCGTGCTAGACTTAGCTCTAGCAGGACATACCTACTCGGGCAGAATCAGACGAAGTCTGCCCGTCTGATGTCGTCGTCGGATGCCCAAGACCAGGTCTCCCAGACTTGTTCATGCCCTGGGATCCTGCGACTACGGCTTTGTTTTTGTTGTTTTCTGTGCGTCTCACGACTCCACGTCCACGTTCATAGCCAAATGGCTGCTCCAATATCCGTGGCTGTCGCCTTCCATGTCAAATACTTGTACCATTGGCCCCCGCCGCCGCTGTCGCTGTCGCGATTGACAATCTACTTACACATTGCTCACTTCCCTTCACCTTCTTCATCTGTCCCTTTTCGCGATGGAATAAGGCCGCGGCCTTGAGATAGGATCAGGAGACTAACGACCCTCGAGGCGATCTACTCTGACGAATTGCGACTGCGACGCTACCTACTGCTACAATTCGGCTGAACGAACCGCTGCCGACATCCATTCGTCGTCAATCAACCGTGGTTGTCGCCCCTTTTCTTCTTCCAATCGACTGCTCGACCTGTCACATCCGTCTGCTGATTGCCATTGGCAATCCTGCTCACCACTCACCACACACCCCCGGCCGCTGCATCTCATCTGCATCAGAGAAGCATCGCGGCGCCGCACCGCCTCCCCGCATTACTTCCATTGTCGACTCGCTGGCTGGTCTGGGTGTCTGGTTTCTGGTTTGAATGTGGTCCGGTTCGCTAGGCCCCTTGTCTTCAACCCGTCTGCGCCAGCCCCTTGCTGCTCTTGCTGCCCCTGCTGCTGCTTCGGTCCAGGCTTCGGAAGCAGAGATAGGGAGACTCGATGTTGGCGGGCCAGTTAGATTATCCCGTCTCCTCAACCCCAGCTTGGCCTTTTCCCTCGACCGCCTTTTGAGAGACTATCCACCGTCCCTCAGAGGTATACCTACCCACAACGATACTTGACTTTGGCACAGATGCAGCCTATACTCAACAACATCTCAATGTGCTCATAGCCGGGCCTCATCCTGTCAGAAGCACAGGACCTGCATGCAGCCAGGATTTATCGCCAGTCGTTGCAGTATAGACAGTCAAGCTGGCTTCGAAGCGAAACCAACAAATATCCCAAGTATCCTGTCGGTTCATTGGACTCTGCCCACCTTGTTTCCTGGTTCGCTTCCATCTTACTTAGTAGTGGGCCTGCTCAAATCCACCTTGCCTCGCATCGCCCACACTGAGGTACCTTCATGTCAGTAGGTACGTACGTCTTTTGCTTGCTTCCATTGGGACTGGACATGGGCCTGGGAGCTTAGGTTGTGCTGGAACTTGCAGCAGCTAGCTGCCTTGGGTGCCTCTCCGGTCCCCATCTACCTACCATGCCTTGCCCGCTTTTGCTGCCCTTCCCTCCCGCCTCCATCTCTTGCGTTTTCCTTCGACCTTTTCGTTTTATTTTTTTATCCTTTTTCTTTCCTGTTCGGTTTCTGCCTCTGCGCAACCGAGCAGCGCTTTGCCTCGTCGTCCTCGGCGCCTTTGTTCCCTTTCCTATATTCTCTCTCTCTCTCTCTCTCTCTGTCTCTTCATCTTTATTCTTGCCACCTCCCCTGCTTTAGTCATTAACACAGGCAATTCGCCAGTAATAATCTTCCTACTCTCATTTCTTCTCCTTGGCTACTCAGCTGTCACCCGATATTTACATTGTTTAGTATCTCAAGCCTCGGTTCACCTCAGTCACTCTCTCGCTCAGCTTGATCAGCTTCCATCGATCCACGCAAACAATCGCAAACCCACCCGGCAAATTTGCCCTTCCGCTCATTCGCTTGTGCTGGTCGCCTTGCTCATCCCGCCTCGCCTTAATCAAAGAACAACCTACGCTCGTCGACAACCTTGGATTCAGCCAAGCGAATACTTATCATCGGGCATTTGCGGTTCACCCAACCTGCTCGAACACCGTTGAATTTCTATCAGTTCCGGATGATTTTCATCAAGACAACGAACGAACCTCTGTCAGAACAACGTGCGCCGCCGCAAGCCAACTTGTTCGCCCTCTTTCGCCCGACAAGCTCGAACCTCTGGACTTGACACCCGGCTAACTGTTTTTGCACTGTACAGTGTACGGTTGCTGAATCAAACCGGACCGCCAAAGCACAGGCCGGCCGGCGCCTTCCGGTACCCACCGAAGCTGAACCAACTGCTCCCGGCGAGTCAGCCACTACAAGCAGCTTTGACCGCACTTGGCTCCTGTGCGTTACCCCAATCATTCCCGCTGTCGGCCATCTCAGTCCACGCCGGGACGCACCGGCTCTCCATGGCCCGGAGACCCCGGTGAGCCGAGTCATCACACCCAAACCCAAGAAGCTGTCTCCGAAAGCTCCCAGCTACGGCAGAGTCTCCGAAACCTCCCCGTCCCCGCACAGCCCGGCCGAGAATGCCCGGGTCCGGGTCCGGGAGCCCCTCACGAGGGAGCCCCTCCCGGTCCCAACGGAAGCCGCTGCACGAGCGCTCCAAGTCACAGTCCAATTCTCTTGCCATTCGCGTTGTCCCCTACAGCCCTCCTCGACCAAGCCACAAGAATCGCGACTCTACCGCCTCGGCCACCTCATCACGCACTCCAACATCAACAACAGCATTGCTGTCGCCGAACACCTCCGAACTTGGTCACCGAAACTCCTCCAGAATCGATGATCGCTCCACATCCGCAAGCCGTGCTAGCGACCGCTATTCCTCTCATCGGCGCTCTTATTCCTCCAGCACGCTGACATCTGTACTGTCGCCAGCATCTTCAACTTTCCCATTGGTCGCAGCCAAGGACCGCGGTGTTTCAGGCTCGAAACTGCGATCTGACTCTTGGACAGGAGGCCCGTCCTCTCCTTCTACCCCTGTTCCCACTACTCCGCCTCATCTGACCGATAATTACCGCGTTAATGCACGATCCCGGTCGTCACAGTACAGTACCGACGATGAACCTGTCACCCCTTCGGCGAAGCGCCCCTTGTCTCGTCGCCGCAATCTCATCACAATCAACGCAGATGGGAAGACTTTTTCTCTTCTACCCCAGAAAGGACAGCAGAACAGGAACTCGGGTGACCCGGGCTCGTCCAAAGCACCCACATTGTCACTTTCCTCTACAGCCTCGCCAGAGCGCTTCTCATCAGACGCCTCACACATCAGCGAAAACCATCCCAGCTCTACCACCGTGACTCCGGACCGAAGCTTTTCAGCTACACTAACCCCAGCATCCTCGACCACGCAATTAGCTGGAGATCATATTGCCAGCACCGTCGCCTCCAATTCGTCCCCCTGGAATTACCGCATGGTTGGCGGCCTACGCAAGGTTCTCAATACTCCTGATCTCAAGCAAAAGGGAAAATCAACTCTTCTGTACCCTGAAGCCAATCAAGCCCCATTCGCCCCATCCTCCCCGTCTGATTCTCGACTCGCGCCGCTGCCGGAGGCGCCAGCCGTCGACCCATACCCACCCTCGGACCCCCCTGACTTGCAGACCAAGACGTCTTTTCAATCATCCGTCACTGCGTCTACATCGTCGGACAAGACAAATTACAAAATCTACAGTTCCAGTTCCCCTCCTCGAGCCGATACTGAGAGTGTGCTGCCGCCACCATCGATATCCTCCGATACAACAAATTACCAAGTATACAACTCTAGCTCGCCTCCTCGCATCCCTCAAAGGGACAGTTCGTTGCCGCCACCTGCATCGAGTCACTCCAACTACGAGATTCTTGGCCGATCTTCCCCCCCAGAAACATCCTCCGCTGAGCGTAGTCCTCCGAAGACTGCAGACAGCAGCGCCGACAGTAACCACAACTATATTCTACACGGCGACCCATCCCCTGCACCCTCTTCTGCGGCTACGGCCCGCCGCCGCCGTGTTCGCCCGGAATACTCGCAAGAAAGTCTGTTGGTAGCACCACTCAAGCCAAAGAAAAGCAAGAAGAAGTCCAGGGAGAGGTTTGGCTACTACAAAACTCGCTCGCGAGACTCTCTCCGGCGCATCGCATCGATTAAGTCCATATCCAGTTCTCGCAGCGTTGAGGCAGCCACGAACATAATCACCGCCCCTGCTGCCTCCTATCGATCACGTGTGCAGGCTGGCTTGCCTACGCGGCAGCCGGACGGAAGAGCTGAGCCATCTACCTCCACACCTGTCCCGTCCCACATGCAAGCTCATCCGCATCAATGGAGTTCACAACTATCTACGGTCATGTCGGAGAGTGAGGGAGGAAGCGAGCCCCCATCTCGCTCTGTGTCTCCCTGGTCGGTTCCAGCCAGACGTGGCAGCCAACCCCTTAGCAGCCATAGCCGGCAAATGCTCAGCATCTCCTCATCGCTGGCAGGCAATGAAGAAAGGTCTCTGTCTCACTCACGTTCATTTACAGACTCGCTCGAAAGGCCCCAAGCTAGTCACAGTCGAGGAGGCACCCTTCGTTTAGTAAGCGATCAGGATGAGCATGGTGATGGGTTAACGGAGTTGCATCAACTGAACCAACGTCCTTCCCGAACACGTCTTTCGAGCTTTTTCTCAAACACATCGTCTGATCGTAATCTGCACTCATCGAGCAGCTCACGTTCGCGGGCCAACAGCTTCAACTCGGCATCTATTCCTACATGGGCTAAGTAAGTAAAGCGCACAGCCATACTTAAGGCACTGAGTACGGTATTCAGCTAACAGTTTTGGACAGGTTCTACTATGGAAGTGGGGAACGAAAGTTTCTGGCGAGCTCTTCGGGCTCCATCATGACCGATCCGAATGACAGTCGACCTCCCAGCTCGTACCAGAGTCGATCGCCAAGTGCGGAACACCTTCCGCTGAGTATTTACAGCCCCCGAAGACGGCCCCGAGAAGTCAATCCCCTGGCTACCGGTCCAATGTCGGATTCCGCTTCCATGGAAATCAACCCGATGCCGCTAGACAGCCAGCTTCGACCTGGTGTACGCAAAAAGACGTCGAGCATTTGGTCGCCGCATTTACGCCGTGACCAAAGGGCCAGCCGTTACAACATTTGGGAGCCACCTTCCATGACATGGTCCACCGAGAATAGTCTACTTGGCAAGCGAAATATGCAAGTCGTGCTCTTTGCCCTCGGGTTCATTCTTCCATTTGGTAATGCGAATCCAGTGTTGAACTTTTCTGGGTCGACTGCTAACCGCACCTAGCTTGGATGATTGCCGCCTTTTTGCCCCTTCCTCCTGACCCGCACGCTGAAATGGAGGAGCGCGATCACCGATCAAGTCTCTTAGATGAGGAAGGGGATCTTCCTCGACGCATCGCGGCCATCGATGAGACTTTATTCCAAAGCGCCAGGTGGTGGCGCGCCCTCAATCGCTACATGTCCGTTATTGGCCTCCTCGTCGTAGGTGCCATTGTAGCTCTCGTCGTTGTCGGCGTCAAGCAGGGATGGGGACAAATCGCGTAGCAGCAAGACCCCGACCAACGTCTCGGAACCCAGTCTGGCTCGACAACTGCCGTAACCTTCGGGCATTCCGACCTAATGCTTTCAGCGTACATCACACAAAACAACCTCTATTGATTTCTTCGATACATCAGCGCATTAGATTCACGAATGGGTACTCATTGCCCTGCGACGGCCCTTTTTACGACTCTACGACACTTGGAATTACCTGAGCAAGCACACGAACCTTTTTGTCCTAACTCGTCGGACACTCCTCTTTTTCACTTCATCGTCCTTCTTCCGGGTAAACAGAGACGCTATCAGTGCTCTTCCATCCCTGTAAAAGTTATTGTACTATTATACGTTTGCCCAGGCGGGCCTCCAGTTGACGACAAGCTAGATTTTTATCTGTAATGGGTGTTGAGACTGAATGACGATACCCCCCCGCGTCTGACGCGGGAGTCATGAAGTGGGGATCGCCACGCCGATGTTCGAAGCGTTCGAACTCGGCTCTAGAGTCTCCTTTTATTTTTAAGGCATAGACATGGGTATATAAAGGCTTGGTTCAGGAGCTATGTAGCACGAAATGTCTAATGACTAGCGCCCATGGGCCGTTTCTCAAAGTTCTCCGTCACAGGATATATGCCCCCCGTAGCGTGTTGCACATGTAACTTATCTCCCCAATACTTTCCATATCGAAATCTACCACACTCCATTGAAGCCTGTGACACAACGATCGCGTCGTGATTTAACTTTCAGGTATGAGAGGCTTTTGCATAAGTGATAGGCTCGATTTCAAGCAGCCTTCCTCTTCTGCCTGGCCTCTACTTCTGCCTTGATCTCCTCCATGGCTTCGTCGATCTCTCGTTGAGGATCAGCTGAGACTCCTAAGACCGGCTCCCGGCCAGAAAGACTGTCCTGGCTGAGAGAACGGGTGAGCTTAGCCCCGGCCTTTCCTTGACGCTCTTCCAAATGCTTCTTCAAAAGCTGCTTCGCCGGGGAGGCGAAGAAGGCCATAGAGACGATTGTGCCAATAATAGTGTAGAAATAAACGCGGCTCCAGACCAGAATCGAACCTGACAGCTGGAGAACGAGAAAAGGAGCCACAACGAAGGACATGCCCAACTGAGTTACAACGAACGATAAACAGTCGTAGTAGATCTTGGTGGTCGTTGGGGAACCGGTGCTGGGGTCGATGAAGAATGCGCGGAAGTATCGGCGGTAATCTGTGTCGAATTAGTTCCTGTTTGCAATCGCCAGTTCACATCCACTGCAACTCACTTTTTGCAACAGTCTGGACAAAGCTGGCGAGAATGAAGCTCAGGTAATATCCGGGATAAAACCCATGCCATAATGCGCTCGTGCCGAACGTGATCAGACTGGCGCGGAAACCAGGCTTCTTTCCGATAGGCGTTACTCGGAGGTAAACGTAGTTTCTCAACCAGTTGTTGGTGTTCATATTCCAGTTGCCCAGATATGCGCGCGTGTTTTGTGCCGTCTCAACTCCCCATGGATTGATGTTTTGTAGCCTGTTCCATGACACCTTGCCGGTGACAGGATCAACACCATGGTAGCCCAAGCCGGCCAAGATGCAAGCGCCTTCAGTCAAGGACCAAACGCCGTAATACTTGAGACGAGCCGTCAAGCCAGTCATGTGCAGGACCCAAACTCTACGTAAGAAGTTAAGATCCATATAGGACTGCCCCGTCAAGTAACTGATGGGGTAGGAACCCGAGAGAACCATGAAGAGACCAATCCAGCCCAAGCCGCTCGCAGCCTTCCATGCAGCTGGAGTGCCACTGCGAGGTATCTTCCGCTTCTTCCGCACAGGAGGCTTCTTTGAGGGATCGACCTGGGCAGGTAGGTCAAACATGGTGGTGTCTATCCATTTGCGATATTCGGCGTAATCGAAGGCGGGACCAGCGAGGAGCCCAGGGAAGAAGAGGACATATCCGGCATAATCCAAAAGACCCGGAAGCTCAACCAAGCGTCTCTCCTTCTGGAAATCAGACAGTTTGTCCTCTGACAGTCGGCCATCTGCCACATTCCAGCAGAAGGCACTAAGCTTCATGAGCAGAACCATTTGCGCGCCAGTGATATCGACAGATGAGGGGCTGTCGGCGAGTTGGCGAGCGATATGGCTGATGGACATGTGGCCCATGACGAAGGCGAAACCAATCCAAGGCATGAACGGGCTACTGCGAAGATACTTGGCGATGCAGTAGACACCAATGGAGCTGATGGCAAGGGTGCGCACGCCACTCCATAGATCAAACAATCCAACCAAGTAGAAGGCGGAGGTGCTAGGTCACAAATAACATGGTCAGCGTAGTGAGCTAGGAATCAAATAGATGCGCAGGAGCTCCAGGTGTGTCATACCATATTATGAATAGATTCTTCTGGTCTGGCCGGGCATCTGGAACCCTCTTGAGTAGACCGGCGAGAGGGTATGATATGAGGAACGAGAAGACGAGCTTGACTGCCAGAAGAAAGACGTCAGCATGCACGGCATACTTGGAGCTGGCCTATATGGATAGGTATATATTCGATCGTAGGTAAACTCTCGCGAGGGAAGACTGACGTTCGTCGGGGGATGCGCCCAGGCGCGAAGATAGTAGCTCGAATGCTGCCGGTACACCGTGGGTCAGCTTGCGAAAGACTTCAATTTCAAGGAATGCCAAATAGCCTACGCTTGTTAATAAAGGGCAACATCATGTACGCCAAGGACAAAGCTGGCGATAGCGAGGGACTGGAAGGCTAGAGCGTGTGAGTTCAAATGCTTCTCAGTCCATTTCTTCGAAGCTGGTCGGGGAAATTGTGTTGGGCGAACGGCGCGGAATGTCGTCTGCTGAGCAGGAGACGTAGCAGTTTGTTCTGGGTCCTGTTCTTAGGAGCGAAAGGCGGTGGTTAGCACAACAGGCTAGGTCATGTGGGAACGTTCGGACGAGAGAATGAAGACGTGGGATGAGAGACAAGCCAGGACGTGACTGAAGCCGATCAGTAGGTGCCTGTGGGTAAGGTACTTCAGCTGAAGGGAAAAACACTGAAGTGCTAGTAGGGAGAAGAGTTGCGGGTCATCCCAACCTGACAAGTAGCTGCGCATGCCCAGAGCAGCAGCGATATACTGGTGGTTGCAAAGAGCACGTGTGACGTATTATTAACCTGTCCCCCTAGCTACCTTAACCTCAGTCCTGCTCAGGGCTGGCTTTTAAGGCCGTTCAGACAGCGAGTTTGGCATGGCGGAAGGGGTGGGGCAAAGGTGTTTTGGCGGGTGGTCATGTAGGCAAGGCATGGTACCGAGTACCTCCCGGTTGCACAAAGGTCTACAGACCGAGTACCTCCTGTCTACTTTACCCGACAGTGAAGTCTCCGCCCTACCTAGCCAGCCGAAGCCCACCCCCACGTGTTTCGGAAACAAGCTTCACGAAGGTGGCAGAACGTGTTGAGGGTGCTTGCACAGAAAGACCGACGTCGATTTACACCAAAAGAACAGCGTAGCCACACCAAAAATCATCTTGTCTTCCCCGACACCGACGCCGCTGCCGTCTTATGTTGTCTGAAAAAGGACGAAGTTTTAAATCTACGAGCCAAAGCACGTTACGGCTTCCCCATTGGAAACCAATCTTGTCTCTGCACAAGCGCCCCAACCGATCTCACCGCTTCGGCTTGTTGAATGGTTTCTGGGGTACACGATAAAGTCGTGGCTTTGAAACACAGCTACTCTATCCGCCTAACACTACACGGGTGGAGCGCAGTTTGACGACTCAACGCCTAGGCTCACATCTTGTCACTTGAGCCTCTCCCCGCCTACGCATCTCGAGGTCAAACGTATTACTATACAACATTTCGAGCATCTAATTGCGATCAGCGTGGGGAAAGCAAGACGGGCATCCTTCGCTTGCGTTGAGGCAATACCGCTTAGGAACCGTAGATGCGCGATACACGTTGCTCAACCAGCAATTTATTCGGCTGCCGCAATGCTCTCCCACGAGACTTGGCAAGCCAAGTTCCGCTTTTCTATCAGGAACCCACAACTGTTCTACGAGTTCGCATCCTTGTTGCTCTGAGAGCTCGCGCTCATGGGTTGTGTAGTTGGCAAAGACATCTTGGCCGCCTCGCTCTGGCGAATTCTGGCCCACGCATACACGATGCCGCTGACGAACCCAATAATGATAGCCGACACGCTGCCAAATGTGACCGGCGCATCGAAGAAGACGAGGCCGCTTATGGCGATGGGAAGTTTGTTGAGAGCGCCAACCACGGAGTATGTCGTAGAGGAGGTGACTCGGATACACCAAGCCGAGCAGTACGAAATAAAGATTGCGCAAAGTCCTGAGTAGATCATGCCGACGAAGAGGCTGTTGCGAGTCTCGATGGGGAAGTTCTTGGCGATGTTCGCTGACGACCAATCCTCCGTCAAAAGCGTGCAAACGATGAGGACAGGGATTGTCAACAAGTTGTTGTAGAACATTGCTGTATGAAGCATTTATCAGCCATCGTCCTCTGGGCTGTCGCATGTAAACAGCCGGGGTTCTCGGGGTAGCTTACTGTCCCAGTCCTTAAAGTTCATCTTCTTGATGACCTTGCGCATGCCGAGCACGTATGCGGCTGTGCAGCAAACATTCATCCCCATCCAGGCGTATCCGGCATTCAACGTCGAGACAGCAGCAGAAGCCTCAGCAGTGTGCGAGCTGCCACCCAGCGCGTGTTGAACATCAGCCCAAGCAGCCACGACAGAGCTGAGAACCATCAAGCCAAAGGACAAAAGCGAAAGGGGGCTGACGCTTCCGCCAAACCACAAAACTTCGCCATATGCAATGACAATGATGGTCAGATTCTTGAAGATGGTGTAGACGGGAACTGAGAGGAATTGGAGGGCCTTCGTGCCTGTGTAGATCATGCCGACGAGTAGAAGCGCGATAGGAAACCCTGTGGGCGTGTCAGCCTGCACTACAGAGCTTGGTGGCTTTCGAGTAGTGTGTAAAGTTACATTTCTTCGCTTTTCCCGTGTCAAAAGGAGCCAGGTTCGTGATCATTCCCAGGTTCTTGCAGACGACGATGGTGAGGATACAAACGATGGACTGCGTAGCGCGCGGTTAGCAGCATCCACAGGAGGGGGCCAATGGTGAGCATACCTGAACGGCGAGATATAGGAAGTTCAGATTCCAGAACTGACCCGAGACAACGTACTTGTTGACCACAGTCATACTAATGGAAGAGAAGCAATAGGCCAGGATGGAAACGCCAGGGCTGTTATCGATCTTGCTCAGAGGCGAGGCCAGGTTTGATCTTGGCCTGGGAGGTGGTCGCTGGGACAAGAAGCCATCCTTTTCTCCACCGAACGAGTCGGACCCGCGCAGCTCGTAGTCCTCATTCTTCTTGTCCGACATGGTTGGCGATGGTTGATATTGTTAAATAGGTGTTGTCGGTGATGAACGCAAGCTGGCTTCAGTTTCGTTGGCTCGAGCTTGGGGCTAGAGAATCGGGAGCACGATTGCGCCTGACGGGAGAGAAGGGCTGAGTCGTCAATTCGTGAGGGGCAGCTCTGGAGGTTTTGTCGACGGGAGGCAGTGGATTTATGACTTGCGTCAAAAATGATTGATGTCCTCGGCGAGCCGTTCCTCGTACGGCGGGTTGCAACTGAAGAGCAAAGTCTGGCTGCGGGACGAAGATGTTGCGAGCAGGAACGGTGCACAGCGTAAAGGGGGCACGGAGATATTCGCGAGCGAAGACGGGCGGTACGGGAAGGGAATGCAACGCAAGGGAACACGCGTGCACCTATCAAGGGTCGTGGAATTTCATGCCACAAATTGCGGCGTGGCCAGGTTCTCTGTATCCGTGCTCATACAGGCTACAGTGTCAAAATGCAAATTGAGATGCTGGGCCGCTAGTAGTGCTTCGGCGGGCAGCGCTCTCCCCTGGTAATGGGTTGACCGGGCTATAATGTGAAGCAAGGGACCACATTTGGTTCGGCTTCATGTCGATAATTGCATTTTTAGACTGGGGATATCTTCTTATTGCATTTCCAGTGCGCCAGCTCTCCCTCCCTGGGTAGTATGGTAGGTAACTAGGTACCTACTTGAGTAGGTAGGTAGGCATGTTCCCGTCCCAGGCATGTGGAGACACCGGGGAATCTCAGGCGACGGAACCTGGGTCGGCATGTTGGTACCTACTGGACGCCTAGCTTTGACGGTGATACCTTAAGATCGGCATGCTCTCAACCGCACAGCTCAACTCCCGGGACATGACACCTCCAACACTCGCCGTGCGAATTGCCAAGAGCCAAACTTGCTGCAGTATCTTCGCCATTTAACGCTGGAATTTCATCTTCTGGCCGTCCCATCGATCCCGACACTAGATGCACTTGCTACTAAATCATCTCGCTATAACATAGATCAGGCTTTGTCTTCTCGAGAATTTTTTAAAAGACGATGGACGTATCAAGCGAACACAGTGCAGGTCATTCAACAATAGACGGCGCGGCTAGAGCCAAACTTCAACTTCCAGCAAGTTGTGATCCACCTCAATTCGAGGCCCCCAGAAAACAACTGGTGTGGGTGGTGAGTTCGGAAAGCCTTGCAGTGACCTATACCGCATCTAAACCCCTCACAGGTATTCGGTGGCACTGGGCATATGGGCCGGTCACTCGTCAAGTCCGCCTTATCCCATGGCGACCTCGTCACTTCTGTCGGTCGAGTCTTTGAGACGACTCCCGAAGATATGTCAGCACAGGACAACGACAGTTGCCTGGGTCTCTTGTGTGACGTACGAGCCAGAGATTCCGTTGCCCGCGTTATCGAGAAAAGTTTGGATCGGTTTCAGCGGGTTGATGTCGTCGCGAACTGCTCCGGGTACGGCGTAATTGGGGCCTGTGAGGACCAAGACGAGCATGAGATTCGGAACCAGTTCGAGACCAATTTCATGGGTACTCTCAATATCATACAGGCCAGTCTACCCTACTTTCGCCACCAGAACGCTGGTCGATATTTGATCTTCAGCTCAACTTCAGGTGCTCTGGGCGTTCCGGGTCTGGGTCCGTACTGTGCTACCAAGTATGCCGTTGAGGGTCTCATAGAGGCCATGCTGTACGAGACCGACTCGTTCAACGTAAAGGCGACTCTTGTCGAGCCAGGTTTTGTGCGAAGAGACGAGCCAGATACAATGCCCACGCCTCTACCGACATGGGGTCACTTCCTCATCAAACCGGCCAGCGAAGCCTACGCACAAGCAACCTCACCAGCCCTGCATGCAAAGCGAATGGTCCAATGGCTAGGAGATCGGCAACCAACAAGCGCCGTCAAGTGCGCGGAGCTTGTTTGGCAGCTCGCTCACTGCTCATTTCCTCCGCTGAGGTTGCTTCTTGGCAGCTATGCCATTGAAAGCATACGGGACAGGCTGCGGTCGGTCACCGAGGAGCTCGAGGACTGGAAGCACCTGAACTTCCCAGTTGCGCCTGAAACGGGTGTTGAAGCGGATGGCAAGGACAGCAAGGCAGATCACGATGAGTTCATGGCCGATTCTATCCAGGATGCACAAGGACAAGTTACGACATGAGGACAGCATACATGTCCTCATGAGACAACGCGCCAGCTGGCCGGAGCAAAACCATATTCCAGGTCTTGCGTTCGAATGCACCTTCGGCAAACGCGATAACGTTATGTATCTGAAACGAAGTGTTTAGTCCGTGATATCCCACTTACTGATACGTGGAGATATCCTGCAGTCCATCCCACGGTACGAGACACAAAATCCAACACGCGTTGTTGCGTACATGATGGGCATGGTCAGGAGTTTCCAGGCTCTCTTTCATGCGCAAGAGTTCTCAATTCCCTTTCCACTCGCGGCTCATCATTGGCTAGACTGTCGAAATACAAAGGGTCACATGCCCCTCAGCCTCCTCACTCGTCACCTCCGGTCTATGCCGGCAAACTGCTTTGAAGATATTGCTGGACATACTCTTCCCTGTGCGGGTTCACATCAAGGTCTGATGTGCGATTCAATGGTGTCCACTTGGGCTCATCCTTGAAAAGCCTCATTGCCTTGATATACTTTATAACACTGTTAGCAAGATTTTGACGTCGGGTATGTTCGAGGGTCATCACTTACATTGGAGTCGTCAGTGGTAAATCGGTGGTAGATGCCTGCAGGAAGGATGATAAGATCGTCCTGAATCCTGGTCAGCCGTCTAGATCGAACAATTCCTGCCAAAACGTTTGCCGGAGAAGACAACACACCTTCTCGACACGAATTCGAACCCATTGATCGTCCGCACTCCTGACGTCAAAGAACCCGTGACCATCGCGAACATAGCGGATTTCCTCGTCCTCGTGTAGGTGCTCATGGAAGAAGGACTTGACTTTCTCTTCGTAGACATCGCCCATCTTCTCCGGCGAAACAATAATCTCATCCCTGTTCCTATATCCTCGGTCCAACGCGAGTTTGTTGACGCCATCAATGTTGGGGATCTGATGGTAGTAAACGCCAAGCTTCTTCAGCTGTTCGACGGTCACCTCTTTGCCCGAGTCGTGCGCTAGACGCTGGTCGCCCTGCAACCAGTAAACAAGTTAGCTCGATGAGTACGTAACCATTGGCAAGCCGACAGCAGTTGTTTCGGAAAGCCCACTTACAGCCAGATTATCATACCAATAGGCCTTCATGGTTTGTAGTATTACGAGGGGTGATTGATCACGTATGGGCACAAGTTTCGGGCGGGACAGAGGCGAGAAATTTGGCCAGGAAGTAGGAAGTTGTTCAAGTGCAGGAAAGTCTGTATATCCAGTGGCTCCCAAGGAAACAGCTACCGACTCGATATGTTGGCGGGATATTGAATGGTTAAGAGAAGCAGGACGAATAAAGGTTTGATCAGGGGTGGACTTTTACAATGGAAATGACGCAATTGGCTGTGAAGGTGGGGTAATTTGCTACCCAACACGGGCAGCACCACACCTACCTACCTAAGGTAGATACACTAAGGTAGGGAGTTGAGAGTTGCTTCTGGCACTCCGTCGTCCAATCTTCAGCGGGGCATCAGCACGTGGTTCTCAAGGTAGGTAGGTACCTTAGGTACTCTAGCCCTCCGCCTGCATCAAATCCTCCCGTCTCCCGATGATGCTCGCTGCGGATGCATCTGAAAAGTGAACGACACCTTGACAGATTCACACGAATAAACCGATAATGCACGCCAGTGTAGCCCATTCACAAGAGACATCCGATCGTGCTTCAAACAACTGGAGAGGGGGATTCGAATGACTCTATAGTATGTCTCTAAAATGCAATATGCTTCAAGCTCGTACCTGTCGTGTTCTGTTTCCCCGTGACTGACTGGATGGCCGGGCATGCTGGTGATGAAATCAGGTGAATACGAACAGGCAGGCGTGCTGTAGCGTTGCAACCGACTGACCCAAACGCCGCGGTAGCCACTCCATGCTGTGGGCAAAGCCCCTCCCTCCCGGTATCATGCGTTTCTTCAGTAAAGGGCTGATTCCTACTCGCCTTTCATCGAACCTCGGGGGCGAGCTCTGGACCGCCCGCAACGACAATGTCATTGTTAATGCCATCTGCAGTCTCATCCGCTGGTCGCCTCTCGAACAGTCGCCTCCACCATCCTGGGGGGTCAAATGGCCGCGAACCATTGTGCAGGGGTGGATAGACATCGGAGAAGAAGTACCAGATGTGGCCGATAACGACACCCATGATCTCATCCTTGGGAATGGAGCCGTGCAGGATCAAGCTAAAGGCCATGAGAACCCAAGGAAGGTATGGAGCTGTGAAAACCAGCAGGCCCAGAAAGCTCAATCGCGTATCCGGGTTCCGTCGCGACCATATGTAAACCAGAGTTGATGATAGGGGATGGCCAAGAAATGGCATTGACACCAGCGGGGACAGAAGTAGCAGGCTGGTCATGGCGTAGACCAGGAGCCATGAGAAATGAGCGGGCGAACGACCTGAAGATTCCTCCAGAAGTCGGGCGTATCGCTGTAGGAAGTAGACGTGAAAGAGGAGATCGAGGGAGAAGGGCCCAAAATAGAGAAAGGTCGTCAGAAGACGCCAATACTACAAACAGAAACACAAAGACATTAGTTACTTGGGTTTTCAAAGCGGGCAGCGAGAGAGACTGTGAAGCACCAACCTGTGACTTGGCGAATACTGCTCGGAAGCTGTAGAATAGCTGGAACGGAGTCACCATCTGGCACTGGACCAATGCGCTAGTCAAAACAGTTGCTGTTGTCCACCATCTTGTGCAGATGGGCATTTCCCAGAACCACGTCTCCAGAGGGAAGCGGCCCCCGTCACCCATCATCTGATCCATTTTGTGTGGGAAGGCGTTCGAAGGATGATGTGCTTCAGAGAAGGCAGGCTGAAGATCGAGAAGGTACGCGCATCGCCCAAAAAGTATGGCTCCCAGGCGTCGCAGCGAAGTTGGGAATGTCGGGTTCAAGCAATCGGAGGCGGAGCAAACGGGTGCAAGCTGTGGGGTATTGGACGTGGATTAGCAGGGCGAGAGGCAGTGGCTGGGAAGAGGATAATTTCGTTCTGCAGAGATTCAGGAAGAAATGCACCCAAGTTGTCCTTTGGCTGTCGCCCTGGGTTTCGTTGGGGTTCGATCCTTCCGACGTTGCATGTGTAGGTTTGGAGAGATAGACGTAGAGCGAGGTGGCCTTTGGAGCCCCATCAATCGATCTCCATAACGCCCAGAACACTGCACCGGCCTTCCGTTGCCAATTTTGGGTACGGGCGCAGCACAGGTGCCGATGACGGCAAGAGCGGGGCAACTAAAGGCTGGCGTGGGTCAATTAAGATCTTGGCATATTGCATTAAGCAGCTAGACTGTTGCGGCTGCTAAATTAATATGCCATAGAAAAGCATAGGCGCATACGCAGATCGGCTCGCACATGGGCATGCCTGCCCACCCGACCTTAATTAAACATGACGCGCGAGATGCACGCGACTAACGCGTCGTCGCAAACTGAATTGGAAAATCGCGGGGTTGGCAACGGTCAATTGACTCCTTTGCGCGCCTCACCATCGTCCCATCCATCTCCATTAAGTCAATCTGCTCCTTTCCAACCTTTCGCATTGTTTTCCTCCCCTTGTTCCGCATCTTCCAACTTCTGCCATCCTTCTAAATTCAACGAGCTCGACTTCCATTCCGGATACAGCACCATCATTTAGCTCGCAACAACCCTCCTGACTACACTGCTGCCGAATCGATTGGCCTAACAGCTCGCTATCGCAACCGCCGCAATTCAATCTTGGTTCATCTACACTTCTCGCCTTTCGCAATCGATATCAATCTTCCATCGACCGGTGAAACCTCCGGGTGCTTTACCCACGTCCCTTTACATGCCCTGTAGCCATGCCCCCCAAGAAAGCAAGGCAGTCAGATCCTGGTCGCCGCAAATCGCGACAGAGCGATGTTCAGCGTACGGTTCACTCCACGTTAACGAAATCTTTTGCCCTAACATGGTGTGCTGACCACTCGCAGCCGGCGACCCAATTCCGAACCGTGGAAAGAGACGTTATCGCCCCGGAACTTTAGCCCTCAGGGAGATTCGAAAGTACCAGAGCGGGACTGATCTTCTTTTGCGTCGACTTCCCTTTTCACGTCTCGTAAGTAGATTAGCCATGCGAATTTATGTTACGATGATCGCCTAACTTATTATCCAGATTCGCGAGATTGCCGAGTCGGTCATTCCCCGAGATCAGCCACCAATGCGATGGCAATCGCATGCCATTCAAGCTCTCCAAGAGGCCGCGGAAGCCTTCTTGGTTCATCTCTTCGAGGATACAAACCTTTGCGCCATACACGCCAAGAGAGTCACTATTATGCAAAAAGACATACAGCTTGCGCGGCGCATACGTGGTGTTTGGGGAGGTTTAGGTTGAGTACTCTGTTACTTGGAAAAGGACGATTCAGCATCTGCTTTGTATCAAGGTCATTGTGTCGCGCCCCTAGTTGACCACCTTTACGTTTCTTATATCGCGGTTGCACGGATACCCATGGCATGTGGAGGTTGGCGGTTGTGATCTTGTTTCGCAAAAATTTGGTTCGGAGTATACGGCGTTGGCGGTATTAGTGCTCAAACTCGAGAGCCAACAGAAGAATAACGGAAGCATGTGTATATCTCGAGAGCTTTGCAAATGGAACGAAACCTTTATTCAAACGCAATAACGCCACGTGGGGAGAGTACGCGGTTTACGCAGAGACTATTCTGTACCGCGTAAGGCTCTTTCGGTTTGGCTGTCGGTGCCCTAGTATGTAATTGGGGTTCTTCCCCAAATGTTTGGCACCTTACCTAAGCCATCGGTGAGGCACATGTGCTGGCATCTCAATTCGTCTTAGCAGCTTTCGAACACTTACCTTAGTAAGGAAAATATGACAGGCACGTCACCATGCAGCCAGATAGTACTAGTCTACAACTTCCTACGTAGGTCAGGAATTAAGCTTTATCCATATTTGCAACAATAGTCCGCTTGAGCTTTCAAACTTCTATCATCGCACCACTGCGCGTTCGCAATCCGTGTCAATGGGCCGTCTTTTTCCTCTTCACTTTACTGGCCGACATTTGGTGCTGCCTATCAGCACCGGCATCGGCATTACCTGCGCTCTAAGATCCCGGCGCCCCCCCATTCGCTTCGATTCGGGTCACGCTCAGAAAACCTCGCCTGCCCAGCGCGTGCGTAGCCAGCCTCGAGGAGGCCTGAGTCCAGAGGCGATGAGACAGCTCTCAAGCGGCAGCATGTTTGGTACATAAGCCATGTTCCATCCCCGATACCAACGGACTGGATTACTGACGTACACTGTCAAGGGTTCGGGGCTGGACTTCTTGTCGGTTTTCTGTCTCATACACTGGTTCTGCTCGCGGGTCTCACCATCTTTGCCTTCTACGTAATGCCCTTGCTTAATCTTCTGCGAATTTTAATCATGGACTGATCTGGCCGCTACAGCTTGCAAACAGATACGGCATAGACTTGCCTCAGCTGCTTGGCCTGAAAGAACGATTCAACACGGTTGCATCGAACAAGCCTTTCCGAAACTCCGTATTCCGACTCTCATTTGCCGCCACCTTCACCCTCGCCGCCTTCGTGCGGTTCTAGAGCTCACCCTATCACTACAAGGGCTGAGTCTCCCTTGTCAGCCATGCCAGCGTCAAGGGGTCATGTGCGAAGAAATCCCTGGTCTTCTGGAAAATATCCGCATTGTGGGCGTTGAGCCACTTCTTCTCCTCTGCCGTCAAGAGGCTGGGTTCGATGAGGTTTTGACAGTATGGTACCATGGTGACGTGCTCAAATCCTAGGTACGGTTTGTCGCCAAAGGAATGCTTCGTTTTCACTTCCGTGACCATGGCCACGTTTTCGATTCGAATACCGTATGACCCGTCTTCGTAGAACCCTGGCTCAATGGAAACAACGTTGCCAGGTGTGAGGGCAACTTCGGCAAATTGCACCCGAGTACCGATTCCTATGGGTCCCTCGTGCACGTTGAGGTACGAGCCCACGCCATGCCCTGTCCCATGGCGGTAGTCCAAGCCCTCTCTCTGTAAGCACACGTCAGTAGATGTCCATCGCTAGGGTAATCGATCATCAAAACTAACCCAGAGGTGTTGACGAGCCAGACAATCAAGTGCAAACCCGGTTGTTCCCTTGGGGAAAATCGCAGTGTCTAGCGCAATATTGCCCTTCAGCACCAATGTGTAGGCGAGCTTCTCGGCCTCTGTCGGCTGTCCAAAGTGCAGGGTTCTTGTTGTGTCTGTAGTTCCATCAAGAAATTGAGCACCGGAATCGCAAAGATAAATAGCATTGGGGTCGATAACGGAGCAGGCGCCGCGCTCGGGTTTATAGTGAATAACAGCGGCACTAAAGAACAAGTTAGACACCGACGTTGGTGAGGGAGCTGCAACGTCCCTGGAAGGGCACGCTCGGTAGACCACGTCCACTTACTTCGCACCGGTAGATGAGATGGTGTCAAAAGAAAGACCAACATAATCCTTATGTTTCGAGCGAAGCTGCTCAAGCTTGTCGGCGGCCTGGACCTCGTCTAGGACGGCCTTCTTGGCGACCAGTTGGTCCTCAAGCCAGGCAAAGTACTCGATGAGAGCCGCGCCGTCTCGAATGTGGCACGCACGCATGCCAGCCATCTCAGTCTTGTTCTTGACGGCCTTCGAATCTCCAATTGGACTGCGAACCTCATCAACCAGTCCGTCACCGCCGAGAGAGCGCTTCAAAGCCCACGACGCCTTTGTGGAAATGATGAAGCGCTTGGAGACGAGACTGTCGTCAGCTCTTTCCACAGAAGAGCGCAGTGCACTTATGGCTTCGAAGATGCTCTCATATGATTTGACTGCGATGCCGTTGTCCGAAAGATACGCACGGGTGGCCTCTCCTAGCTTTGACTTGTCGATGTAGAGGGTGGCACTGTCGTTGGTGATGATGGCGTAGGAAAAGAAGACTGGGTTGTACGGAATGTCATCACCCCGAAGATTGAAGAGCCAGGCAATTTCGTCCAGCATAGATACCACGAAGGCGTGGGAGTTCTTCTTTTCCAAGTCCTGTCGCAAATCCTTCAGTTTAGACTTGACGTCCTTGCCACTGAAGGTCTCCGGTAAGACGACAACAGGATTCTTGGGTCTTGCGGGGCGGTCTTTAGCCCAGACCAAGTCGACCAAGTTTTCATCAAGGGCTACCAGATCCGAGCCACCGCATCTCTTGATTTTCTCTGCAAGCTTCTTGGCGATTGAAGCAGTGATCAACTCGGGGTCGACACCAACGACTTTGCCGCCAGCGGACTGCTCAGCCGACCATTCCTGCCAGGTAGGCACATCTTGCAGGCCCTGCTTCAAGAGCAGCCAGTTTTGGTCCAATTGTTTGGAAGCTTGGTTGAAGTATCTGCCGTCTGTAGCCAGGGCGGCTCTATCCAAAGTCACAACAGCGCAGCCGGCGGAGCCGCTGAAGCCAGATATGAATTCGCGGCGGGCATCACATCCAGCAATATACTCAGACGAGTGTGAATCTTCGGAGGGAATGACTGTGAACACAACGAAGCTATTAGCAAAAGGCGAGGATATGGCGAATGTTCGAGAATTAAGGGAAGATTACCATAGACATCGATGTTGCGCTCTTTCATCAACTCTCTCAGGGTCGAGAGGCGACCGGTAGTATCGATTTGCTCCATATCAAGGACCGCAGAAAGATGCAATGCTCGACGGTGAAAGCCACTGGTCGGAGAGGCACGACAACCGTGGAATAGCAGGGTTGAAGAAGACCGGCTTGTTCTGGAATTCGAGTAAATCCGACGGAAAATTACACTAGCAGGACGGAAACTGCTCCAGACCATGAGGTGAAGAGGGCACCTAGTAATGGGATGAGGTGGACGGAACAGGCAGAGGCGATGTCTCAACTCGACAAAAGGAAAGGCAAGGCAGAGTCGTTTGGCAGGGGAACGAGGGGAACGAGGGGCGTGAGGGGCGTGAGGGGTCTTCCAGTGAGACGGGTAGATGCGGCGCCTACCTTACCAGGTAGGTAGTGGAGCACCTACAGCGAACTCACAGTGCTGTTGCTATGCGACACCTGGTCTGGAGGAACCAATGCCAGCGGTTGAGGGGCTCGCTGATTTTGGTGCAATTATATTTACCTGTCTCCAGTTCGTAGGTCGATGTGCCTAGCTACCTAAGGTAGGTAGCCTGAGGTGCCTAGGTACGTAAGGTCCAACCAGACAATATGAAGCGGTCGTCATCAGTTGGGTTAGGTAGGCTGTGTACCCAAGGTAGGTAGGTAGTTTAGGTCGGCAGCGTAGGCGGGGTACCCAAGACACCTGGATATCTGCCTACTGCGTACCAGTAGGTATCTGCCTACTTACCTAAGATGGCCCGGGGGGTATGCACCTAAGGTATCTAGGGACAGATGCCTGCCAACTGTAAATGCAGCTGTAATAGTACCCCTGTGAAGTGTATCTCTACTTAATATACCTTAGGGAACAACAAGCACAGCTGGTACCCGATAAGGGCATTAAGTGTGTATGCTTCTTTTTTTTTTTTTTTTTTTTTTTTTTGTGGCTGAAACCCCATCACACGCATAATTGCATCTCCAGAGCCTGAGGCGTCACAAATGCCGTTGTGCAGTCAGTATCTATCAGACAACTGTCATCGCCTGATTATCGTACCTGGGCTGTAACTATCTGCTTCTCGTTTGCCGCCACGCCTACTTCTGGTAGGTACTCGTGTAACACAATTACAGAGACTACCAAATTTTGACCAAACCCCACCCACTATCACAACTAGGCTCATCACTACCGAACCCACCTCACCTTTGTTAGCTTCAACACACTCAGTTCTCTGACTCCGCCTGACCTAGGTAGATCAACATGAAAACATCCCATGCAGTTGTTTGAGCTCTGTTCCAATCTTGCTGCTATGGACGGACGGCTGCCAACAACAATTCAGGAGGCGGAAGCTGTAAGCGAAGTGTCTCACGATCGGTACTCCTTTCCCTATTGCTAATGATTACCAGCTTGTTCTCGCTCTTTATGAGCCAGCACCCCCCGAGGCCATTGCCCGCATACAGGAAGTATTGCACCGTCTGCAGAGATCACCCTCCGGCTGGTGGATTGCTCGCGATCTCTTGAGCCATAACGACGACAAAGTCAAGTTCTTTGGGGCCCTTACCCTCATCGTCAAGTTGAATACCGAGAGGTACACCCCCACTCCCTGACTTCTAAAAGGTTTGTACATTGTGCTCATGGCAGAATCACATAGCTCGTCTCTAGACAGCAATGATGCGTCCGAACTGTTGCAAAATCTTGTCGGTTGGTTTGTCAAATCACTCGACGACGGATCTGGTGCCTTGGTCATCAGAAAGCTTTCGTCGGCACTTGTCACTTTCTTCCTGCACTTTCCAACTCGTTGGGAATCTTGCATTCGTCATCTCTGCTGGTCCTTGTCAGAAGGTGCTCATTTGTCACAAGAGCGTATCAGCCCGACGTCGGATTTGTCGGGTCTGCTCCAAAGTCTTCACCCGCACAAACTGCAAGCTGCTTTGTGGTTTTCGGGAACCTTAGTTGACGAGTCATCTAAGGTTGAGATGAACTCAGCCAAACAGTACCACGCCCCCCATCCGCTTAAGGAAACTTTCAACTCACATTTTTGCAGTTCGGGCTTATATAATTCCCTGATGAGCAACGCCCCAGATGCCTTGGCGTTGATGTCTTATGTGCTCAATCACGGCACGTTCGCTCATCCTGCGGATAGCAGCATTCGCCGAGATTCCATGACTTGTCTGCAGGTGAGTATTTCGGCTCTTTACACACACGCGGTGGCCTTCCATAGGATAGTTTGCTCATTATTTTTGCAGTCATGGGTCTGGTTCTCTCAGCGAGTGTCCTCGCAGAATGACGAGCTAGTTGCCTCTCTCCGCACTTTGATACAGCCTGCGATCGTGGCCCTAGGCGATGAAGATTTATATGAAGTTGCGGTGGAATTACTTGCCGACGTTCTGTCCAATTACTCGGTTTTCTTGACCGAGAGCCACTACGAGTCCCTTTTTTCCCTTTTTGAGACTCATTGGTCTCATGAAAGATACCGCCGTCTAGTTGAAGGCGACTTTGAATTCGACTCGATTCAGTACGGGCAGCTTATGATCTCGCTGGGTGACTCCAAGGTTCAGAGTCTCATTCACAGTGTGGACAACCGGTCATCAAACTTCCTGGCACGCCTTCGAGGTCTGCTGTCGGCCCATGGTTATCCTGTTAGCGAGGACAAGATATTCGTTCCCGCCCTGGAGTTCTGGTCTACATACGTGGAGACCTTGACGGACTGCATCTATTCGGATTCGGATTCAAAAGCATGGGTGTCCTCAGCCACTTCTCACGTGCTCGAGGCTGTGTCGACTGTTTGGCGACGAGTGGCATATCCGCCACCCAGTGTGCTAGCTAGCTGGGATTCAGCGGATCGGGCAGGCTTTGGCGATGCAAGGAAGGATGTTGCAGACCTTCTGCAGTCAACATTCACCGTGACTGGCCCGCCCTTGATTTCGACCTTTGCAAACTTAACGCTGCAGTCTATGTCGCCCAACTCCTGGCCAGATCTCGAGGCAGCCGCCTTCTGTCTTGGATCCTTGGCCGAATGTGTCTCTGGAGACGCCGGATGTGACGACACTCTCCGAGCCGTTTTTTCCTCGCCTCTCTTTGAACTTCTCCAGGCATCGCGACAAATCATGCCAGGGCGTACTCGTCAGACGTGTATATCTTTGATTGAGCGATATTCTGATTACTTCGAGCGAGAATCCCAAAGTCTCCCGGCCGCTTTGACGTTGCTTTTCTCTGTTCTGAACGATCCTCATCTGGCAGGGTCTGCTGCGAGGTCCATTCAGAGGCTGTGCTTCTCCTCTCGATCTGTTCTGGCACCTGAGGCGAGTGCGTTCTTAGGGCAGTATCAGTCTATTACCTCACAGGGTCAGCTAGACTGTCTGGCTAGCGAGCGAATATTAGGTGCCATAGCTGCCGTCATACAAGCCGTGTCACCAGATGACGAAAGACTCGATCGCTTAGAAGTTCTTCTCTCATTTATCGAACATGATGCCCGCAGGGCAATACGCCTGCTATCGATGCCCTTGGGCTCGCCTGAGTTCCAGGGCGAGTGCGACACTCATCGTTGTTCGTCCCTGTCTGAGTTATCAGAGCTCCCGCTACACATGGCCCTGAAGTCGTTGAGGGGTCTCATCAGCATCGGCAAAGGTCTGCAGGCACCTGGAGATCTACCTCTTGACCTGGACAGCGAAAGGGAACACATCTTTGTCGACCAGGGCTCCAGACTTGGCCAGATACAGTCTAGAATTATGTCTGTGATCGTTGAGCTTCAAGCCTCTTTTCCACGAAGCGGAGAAGTGGCTGAGAGCATCTGCAATGTCTTCAAGACAGGGTTTTCTGAGTCAGAGACTGGGCCTTTCGTGTTCCCACCACAACTTATTTGCGACTACTTAGCCCAGCAAGCGTCCGAAGTGCCTCGTATTGGGCTGTTTGTGAGCACTGCCTGCTCTTTTCTGAGTTCTCTGAGAAACTTGAAAAGAAACGACGTGGAGGGCATTAGAACCAAATTACTCAGATGGGTCATAGGACTTTTGCGGCAACTGCCGGGTAAGTCAATAGTTCCAAGCCTCAGATGCAGCACTAAAGAAGCAACCTTCACAGAACCAGAGAATGACACAGAACTGGCGCAAAATGGCATCGAGTTCACGAATCGCCTGGTATCTCGCGAGCCGACTGCGCTATTTCGTCCCGAATGTCTCCCGCTAGCTGAATACTTCTTCGTATATGCATTGAGGGTGCTGGACGGACGAGAGCCTCTACCAAAGGCTGCTGCCGCCGATTTTTGGGCATGTTTTCAGCCATCGTCTCTATAATAAGTTACTAATGAGTCACCCAGGCTACGTTTGTGTCACTCAAGGATCCTGATAAGGAAGCGCAAGCGACAATTGACCATGCCGTTGCTCAACTGGGGCCGATGCTTGCACAGTCTATTGTTCAAAATATTGGCGGCAACGCCTCGAGGAGTGAGCTGGATAGGCTCGGTGAACCTTTGAAAAAGATGGTCAGCAATCAGGTAAAGGCCCGCGCTTGGCTCGAGCAAGCCTTGTTCGACCCTTCTTTTCCCGGCCAGCACATTTCGAGTGAGGAGAAGGCTGTTTTCCTGAAAAAGATTATCAAGTCAGTACTGTTCTTCGACAATATATCTCTGCGCATGCATCATAATCACTAACTTCGTATGATTGAATGATAGCCTGAGAGGCGCAAGAGGGACAGCACAGGTGGTACGAGAGTTGTGGCTAGCCTCAAGAGGATCCAAATTCACCTACGCGTCTTGATCTCACGGTCTATTACATCCAGGTTTCTGCGGGCCTGCAAATGGTGTGGAAACCTTGCAGTATGCCGGACTTTTTCTGTCCACGAGCGCAGCATGAAAGCGGAAATCTGACTGTGCCACGGATACGATATTTTCAAGTGCTGAATCCCTACAAAAAATAGAATTTTACCCGCGGGACCATTCTGTACACATTGATACAATAATACCACATCCGAAAATGTCCAGATGAGCGAGCCTACAGGCCTGTGGCTTCTCTGACAACAACCATGGTCTCTTCCGCACTTTGACGGGCCCTCTCCGCTCCTCGGGCCTCAACGGAGTCGAGGTACCTTCCCTCATCAGTCGAGATAAGGTCTAAGTATCGTTCTCGAAAACCAGATAGACCACAGATGACAGCTTCAGAAACAGCCTGCTTGAGATCCTTCAAAGAAGCTTGAGAGTATTCTTGGGCTAGGTGGGATGGGGTCCGTCCCTTGCCATCGAAAACGGACAGGATTTCCAACAAGTTTGACACCCCCGGGCGTTCATGGGGGTCGTAAGAAACTACATTTGATGAATCTGTCAAGGCGCTCATCACCTTCTTGTGGATCTCTTCTGGCCGGTCTGTGATAACAATGCGTGACCTGGAATCTTTCGCCGATTTTGACATCTTCTCGGCCGGGCGTTGTAATGACATAACCCGGCGAGTAGGCGCTTGAAGGATCAATGTCAAAGACCTTTCGCGCCTTTTCTGGGATGGCAAGACTTACGAGTGATGGTTTCAGGTGGCACAAGGTGCGAGCCGAAGGTATGATTGAAGTTGTTGGCGCATTCCCGAGCAAACTCCAGATGCTGCCTTTGGTCGTCACCGACGGGGACATGAGTTGCCCTGTATTATCGACTGAATAAATTTGCCTTCTTACAATTTCTCCTGGGTCGGATAATGAGAGAATCTAACGAACCTGTGAACAAGAATGTCGGCGGCTTGCAAAACGGGGTAAGAAAATAAGCCGAGTTTCAATGATGCTTTGGCACTCTCGTCAAGGATTGTTGCATCAGAGGATAAGGATAATTTGCTCTGTTGCGGGTAAGTCGCTGGAACTTTTGTTGCTGAAGTAAGAGAATGGGACATTGATATCACTGACCTTCCACTGCGTCATGCGCGACAGGTAACCCATGGAAGCTGTGCAGCTCAAGATCCACATAAGTTCTGTATGGGCCGCGACCTAGAACAGCGATACCGTCAGCGATATTGTTCGTGCTGAGAATTCGATCCATCAACGAAGTGACAATGCGGTTTTTAGTACCGAAGACTGATAGAACAATGTTGAACGTTCGGGATCAATGCCGGCGGCGATCAAGGCGGCCAGTGTTTCCCTCTTCCATTGTCTGAGCTGCTTTGCTTGCTGGGTCCCGGTTATGGCGTGGAGATCGACGACAGAGTACATGAGTTTACATTGATCTGCTGGTTCGCTTTGGAGATGAACCCATTGGCGGATGGCACCAGCATAGTTACCCAGGTGTGGCGTTCCTGTGGGTTGAATCCCAGAGAAGACAACCTTCTGTTTGCTCGTCGACGAGGCACGTCGGAATTCGCGCACGCCGACCACAAGTTGACGGGCTCCCGACCTTGCCTGCCGCCACATTGAGAACGAAAGTGATTTTGTGTAATGTCGAAAGTGGCTATAATACCTGGGAGCAAAAGGCGTGCCACGTACGACCTCCGGCCAAATTTGATGAGAAACGACGGATAATCGAATATATTGCTGTACCGGGGTCGCCATGTCTGCGAGAGGCTCCGCCGGGCAAAAAAGACACAACAGGTACTCAAATCACCTTCGGTACACGGCGCCACTGGGTGACCAGCTTGCGAACTGAACTGTTGTGACGGGCACACTAATAGTAGTACAGCAGAATGTCCTTAGCCTTCACCAGGAACCCCCAACATTTGGCCCAGCATACTATGCAAATGCTCATGCCGTCCGAAACTCAGGCACGGGCTGACGCACAATAGTCTTAAAAAGTACAAGGCAATTGAGCTGCCTCCTGATTTACTGCTGTCCTAACCTTACTGGGCGCTAGCCAGCAAAGCAAGGCGCCTTGGGGACTTCCGCCCAGATCGTGCTCACTCAGCCTCTTTTCTCTTCATCATCTTTTCTCTTTTAAACTGTTCCTTTACGAAGCGGCGCTGTCCTTCCGCCCGCTTACCACTGTCGGTATTAAACCGCGAGGTGGCCAGGAACTCCTCAACTTTCTCGACCGTGTCCAGACTTCTGAGCTGGCTCAGATGTTCCCACTTCGGTTCGATAGCCCCAAGTGCGTGTTCGGAGATGGCATCCATCGACTTTCCTTCACCTGGTTGAAGAACGTCAACATTTGCACAAGTAGACGTCTCACGCGAGATCCTACCTAGCTTGCCAAAGTCCCAGATGTTGGCCTTCATACCAATGCCATAGTATGCGTGTTTTTGGAGAAAAGCCAGCCATAACTGCACCGTCTCCGGGTTGCCATCGCGAATCTGGATGAGGCGACGTAGGGTGATGCGTTCGAAGTTTTCTTGAGACTTCTTGAAAATGAAACTACTGCGAGGGACTGTCCAACGTTCGGTAATACGAGGTAGCGGTACTGGACCAAAAGCTGGAAGCTTGAGATAGTATGCTGCGCGAAGGGCGAAATCGACGAAGAATTCGAGGTTTCTTATACTGAAAGAACGTAGCTGCAGGTCGCATGAGGGAATGCCGTATTCAGCTTCGCATCTCAAGGGCTGAAGATAGAGAGCCTGAACACTTCGTGGGAATCGCAATGTCGGTGACTTCCTGACGAAAAGTTAAATGTCCGCAATCGGGTGGCTCGCTTGGGATGTCGTCCTCAAAAGGTCATTGACTTACCCTTGTTGGGGATTGGGGAGGGCCTTTCTAGTAGTTGACACTCTTTCGCGAGCTTCTGCAGAGGGAATCTGGTCGATGGGCGTGTCAATGCTCTCTTCGGCGATGGGTGCTCCAGTGGCAAGAAATCGCGTTAACGGCTGTCGCTGGACGACGGCCTGCATTGGAAATGGAATGTAAGCTAAAGAACGACTCTCCGAAGCCACCCAAGAACACTTAGTGATAAAGATGGGAACGCACCTGTGGTGTTGACCGCGCCAGAAAGCGGGTTGTTGGCCGCAATAGCGATGTTACGCGCATTTTGGTCGCTGCATGGGTAACCAGATAGGATTAGAGGACTTGTCGACGACGAGACCATGAACGGCAAAGAAATCGCTAAATTTCGGGTTCCATATATTATTCATATAAGAGCACGGCCTAAGGCGTGCAGACGCATGTTGAGAATCACACTATCCGGGTGTAGCCCAAATTATAAGACTAAAGGGTTTAAGCCATTTTATTACTCTTTTTGTTCTCTCCCCTCGCATAGTCCCCTGCGAAGGTGAATGAGAATCACCTGCGACATGGAACAATAGCCAATTTATTCGACGAAAAGCGCCCGGTCAATGTAGGCTAGAAATCACGGCGTCGGAGACATTGCGACGAATAGAGGTCTCGAGAATCCTTTATTTATTTTTACTGTCCGCCACGGCGACGTTGTTCTACCAGTTTCTTGTAGAAGGCCTTCTTGCCGCTCGCTTTCTTCTGCTGGATGCCCTCGTACTTAGACCTGAACTTGCCAGAGGCCTTTTCAGCACTCAACAATTCATCTACTAGTGTCTGCTTTCTCTCCTTGCGGGTCAGGCGTGCGCTGTAAAACTCGGTCGGCCCTTCGACGATACGTCCAATGTGAGCATAACGAGGCACTTTGGCCTTCAGAGACTCTTTCTTGTAGTGTCGCTTCGGGTCAATGGCAGTTCCTCTCATATGCAGGATTTGTAAATCCCGCTTGAGTTCTGGATCATTGGGGTCCGTCTTAGGGATGCCAAACCAACGAGGGCCAGCGTTGTCAAGATTCTGAGAAGACGCGTCAGCTTTGCTATACTAGGATAAACGACCAACAGAGACATTAAACGCGAGGGCGAGTTTCGCTTCAGAGTAACTATGAAATAGGAGTATCATTTGGGCGTGGCGCGGCAGTCCAAGACGGATGCCGACACCACATCAACAGAATAAGCAAGGATTGCTTCTCATCACGAGATGTTGGGGCGAGATGATGGTGAAAGTTGCGAAAAACGTACCTTCTCTTCTGTCGGCCTAGGATCACGAAGCGTGAGGCTCTTCTGGTCTCGTACCGTTGGCTGGCCCTGGTGCTCCGCGGTTGGTTCTGTTGAAGCGACCGCGATCAAGCTGCAATCCTTCGGCTGTGACGACTTCTTCGTCAGTAGCCGGCTGGCCGCTTGTTTCAAGAGTTCGTCAAGACGCTCATCGCACAACTCCGGCATAGCGGTGAAGTACGATTGGACTGATTGAGTCGAAAAAGAGCTCAACGAGCAATCGAAAGGAAGGACGGATTAGCGATGTAAAAGAGATTTTTTTCTTTCTCTTCAAATGGAGCTTCCTCGTAAAAGTTGGGGCTAAGTGGGGCGTGTAATCAGGAAAGGTGCCTTGGACGGGGACGAACCTCCGATTGGATTACGCAATGTGTCGGGGGAAAAATCAGCCGCGATTGAGCCTCGGCGGGGGCCGCGGGCGCGGGAATCTGACATGAACCAAGCTTCAGGTTTACACTCCTAGGACGACATTGCGACCTCGTAGTAAAGCAACACAGGCAGATAATACAAACAATAATGCACCTGCGATTTCGCTGGCTGACGGTTCGATAAGGTATAGATGCTAAGTACCATAATGCCTTAGGTATCTATCAGGCACAGTGTAACACACCATACGGCTCCAAGCCACGTCACTCTGGAGCTGCTGGCTAGCGTCATAACGCCTTAAATGATTAGGTGCTGCACAGCTGTAGGTACCTGACAAGAAAAAACAAAAAGAGAACGCTAGCTAGACAAGGGATCGTTCAAGCGAATCGATAACCATTGCTCTGAAGCTGCCGATGGACTGGTTGTCCCTCGGTAAGGTGCCCGACCACATAAGGTAGGTCGGAGGTGGCACGTCAGACGATGAACCGACCCAGCATGCAAGTCGCCAGGCATACAGCACCCATGTGTGCGCTGCAGAGCGGGCAAGTACAAATGCCAGCCATCGGAACCCCACGCACCAGCCAGTTTATCCTCCACTCCCATCTCAGCCTAGCCACACGCCTCGCTTCACTTCGTCCCGATTACGTCCTCGGGTCTCCTCCGTACAACCAAGCTTCCGTCCCTAGTCAACAATCGTGGTGCCCGCGCTACTCACACCATACACCCAACGCTGCAACAATCTCAACCTTTACAATAATCATCTGCACATAGATCGAAATGGACCCTCAGAACCAATCCGGCTCTCACGCGCAGCAAGGCCGCGCCCAGCCTGTTTACGATACGTCTCATGGAGGTCACTACGGTAAGACAGCTCTTCGCGCAATTCAAACGCGTCAAGCCCGCGCGTGCCTGCGCAAAGCATCCCCGTCGCTGTCGCTCGAAGCACATGTTGTTGCCACTGCTGACTTCTGCTCTGCTACTAGGTGCAAGTGCTGCGGTTCGTATTTCACTTCAAACAATCGTCCAGCGGCTATCCAACCACCGGTCGCGGTGTTGTTTGGCGCTGGTTAGCTTCTGATGATTCGGTCACCTCTGACAATATGAACAGCTCTCTGCCCAGGGCTTTGCTCCCGCCGAACTGTACACCGGTCCATGGGCTAATGTGCGTGCCCATCAAACTCGAGAACACCCCTCCTACTTGATTTGCTGACATGCGCCTCAATCGCAACAGGTCCACCAAGGCCTGACGGGCCAGTACAAAGACATCCTGACGACTTACTGGCAGCAGACCATTAACCACCTGGAAAGCGATAACCATGACTACAAGCTGCACCAGCTGCCTTTGGCGCGGATAAAGAAGGTCATGAAGGCCGACCCTGAAGTCAAGATGATATCGGCAGAAGCACCCATTCTCTTCGCCAAGGGCTGCGATATTTTCATCACCGAGTTGACAATGCGTGCCTGGATCCACGCCGAAGAGAATAAGCGAAGAACCCTGCAGCGGTCTGATATTGCATCTGCCTTGGCCAAATCAGACATGTTTGACTTCCTGATTGACATAGTTCCTCGAGAGGAAGCCTCTTCTCATGCCAAACGAACAGCAGGCCAGGCTGCCCCTGCTGGCCAGGGCGTGCCGGCGCAGGCAGCTTCCCAGATATCAGGCCAACACGGCGCTATTCCACAAGCTGCCAACCATTCCTCCTCATCTCATCCTATGGCAACGACCGACTACGGACTCGCCGGACATGCTCTTGGCCCCGATCAGGACTATCGCCAGAACCCCAACATGTATCCTGGCCAAGTACAACCTGGGCCTTCTGCGCCATATGGTCAGGCGCAGCAAGGTATGTACGGCGAAATTGAGGGAATGTACGGATACGGCACCATGCAACCTCAGCAGGTTAGTTGACTGAAGGAGAACACCAGCTTTGAAAACAAAAGACTGACAAGTCCAGCAGCCGCCCATGTCGTCGGAGGAGTTTGAATAGTGGCGGACCGACTTGGACATGAAAAGGCGTAAAGGAAAGCTCAATCTTTACGTCGTTTCGAGGCCCGCATGAATCAGAAAGGCGATTGGTCGGTGAGGGAATGAGCCGCTCTCGGTTTTCTCCCTTTTTTTTTTTTTTTTCCTTCGTGGCTTTATTGGTGGCGTCGTGGCGTTCGAGGCTTTCCGGCGACCGTAAGGGTTGACGATGGAAACATCTAACACGTTGGTAAACGGCGTTCCTTCGTCAAGGTTTTGTACCCAGGCACGGTTGATGAAGCATGTCCTACATATATGCCAGTCTAATGACGCCCTGATGATAGAATTATTCAGTTGCTTCAGTCAGAAAAGAAAAAGGTCACACAGCTGGCAATCTGTAGATGGCAGGTATGCCAGTCTGCCAGTCCATCGATGATCCTGAGCGTGGTTCGTGTACACTGTAGTCTCCAAATACTTCGCGACTCATTTCATGATGCCAAATCGTGATGAGAAGTTGGCGAGAGGGGCACTCCGAGTAGGGCCCTGAGCGTTCGACGTAAGTCTGCATAAATGTCAGTTGACACTTGGATTCGAGTTGCCTCATAAGAGTCGAAGTACATACTTCTCTAGAAGAATTGGCCCATTCATGGCGTCGACACGTCCAAATTTCTTGTTCCGGATGGAAATGTCAAAGAACTCGTCATGGTTGTCGGACTGCATCAAGTTCACGGTTTGTTGGAGCTCGTCTAGATTCTCTCGAAGCATCGCCCCATTCTCCAGACTTTCGACAAACTCTGTTAGATACTGGACATCTTTTGCGAGTGCAGCTACCGCATTGGTGTTGATATGCTTGACGTCGGGAGACAGCGGCAGTGCCTGTGGGTTTGTGGGTCAGCCTGTCAACAGGGAACAGCAAGGCTATGGGGCATCAATTGACGTACAAGAATCTTGTTGGCAGCATGACTGAGAGCATCAAAATAGATAAGTTCCTTGATCTCCCGTGGCAAGCCCAAAAGCGTCGAGTTCATAATATTGGAAAGGTATCGTGTCATGGTCTGCATGTAACTGCTTGGGTCGGGGGATGTAGTTGATGCCATCCTACGCCGTGTTGTTAGTTTCGAGAGCGAAAAGCAATGAACTACTGCGGCCATGTTCCCCGGGAGCAGCAACAGCAACACATACCAGTCGTACTCCGCAGTATCCACGAGGTCATCGATCTTGGAATTGACGAGCTCGAATATGCGCTTCTCGGCAGTCTTCTTATTGTTCCGGAATTCTTCTGTGGCCACCAGTGTAACGGGGCCACCAGCCGATGTCGATGACCTTGCTCTGATGAGCAGCTGCTCCAGTTCCTGGCATGCTGCCTCAAAGTGCTCCAAGTTGATCAATATTTGCACGATTTGGCCCAGATATTGCGAGCTAAGTCTTTCAACGAGGGACTTGCACACTTTCTCTGTCAATAACTCGTCAAGTGACTAGAGTGTGCTCGATTAGTTGCCAACTCTCCAGAGTCACGTTAGTGAAGATCGTACCTTGCGGAGTGTCTCGTCAATAACATTGGGATGCTGAAAATGATCGTCGGAAAAGAAGTAGAACTGGTTCAAGAAGTTCCGGATATCGATGCAGCACAAGGGGTACATTTGGGAAAAGGGCAGGAC